CGAGCGGTCACTCCAGAAATTTGTTCATCGTCATTTCGAACATTTCATACAGTTGATTATACGGTCATAGTCTGGTCCAAAATAAGGTATTGACCCTAGATTTTATAGTGAAATCAATATCAGAACAGTTAAGTAAAATCGTAAAAACGTAGGATTTTACAATTTAAATCGAGATTTTGAATACTTTGGTGATGAGTACCCAGATTGGCAATATTGATCTTTTGGAGGAGATCTCTAATAGACAAGCATCTCAATCTCTTCTTGATTCCTAGTAAGCAAAAAAAAAAAAAAAAAAAAAGAGTAAGCTGCTAGTTTAAGCAGCAGCAACCAAAAAATGAAAAATGAAGTTCATGTTTGAGGTTTGAGCACGGAGAAGGTGAAGGCAGCTGCCTGAGATATTGCAGCAGAGGGAAGAAGCCTGCAAACACGCCTCACTGATTTCAGATTATTTTTCGGACGGAATGCTAGCTAGAAAAATCAACAACAGCATATCCGGCCCACTTTTCGGATGGAATGCTAGCTAGCAAAGTCAGCAGCAGCATATCCAGACCACTTTGAGGATCTATATGAAGCCGAAAAGCTGAAGATGTGAAAATTTAGCCAGCTAGCCAAGATGCATGGGGTTTTTCAATTGTAGGAGTGCTTCACCCTCCCAAACGTCTTGATGTTCATGAGACTAACCTCACTTCGGCGTCTCATGCTCGGTATCCTATTTTGCATCATGTTTACTATGAGCGCGTCATCCTGGCTTATCAAGCCTTTCTGGCTTATATTGATGGGATTCCAGAACCGCGCACTTTTCAAGAGGCTATTCGTCATGCCCACTGGCAGGAGGCCATGGATAAGGAAATTGCAGCACTCATGGCTAATGGCATGTGGCGTTTAGAGCACCTCCCTCCAAGTAATCGTTGTATTGATTCGAAGTGGGTGTTTAAGGTTAAATATTATCCTGATGGGTCGGCTGAAAGATACAAGGCTGGTCTAGTTGCCAAGGGTTATACGCAGATAGAGGGTGTGGATGTTCCTGATACCTTTGCACTGGTCGCAAAATTAGTCATGTGTTCGTTGTTTGTTGGTCGTAGCAGTCAGTCAGGGATGGTATTTACACCAACTTGGCGTCAATAATGCGTTTCTTCATGGGGACTTGTCTGAAGAAGTTTACATGAAAGTTCCTCCTGGTTTCGGTGTTGAAGGAGATTCTTGTGTCCGTCGGTTGCAAAAATCTATCTATGGATTGCGACAGGCGTCTCAGAATTGGTATCAGAAGTTCACTGTTTCGCTAGGTGATCTCGGATTTTATGCCTCACCTGCTGATCATTCACTTTTCATTTATAAGAAGGGTTCTACTTTTGTTGCAGCTCTTATTTAAGTCGATGACGTTATTTTGGCTGGTAAGGACATGGATTTCATCAATCATGTGAAGAACTTTTTGGATCAGAAGTTCAGCATCAAAGATCTTGGGGTTCTTCGTTACTTCTTAGGTCTTGAGGTTGCTCGTGCTCCTCAAGGACTCGCCATCAGCCAGCGGAATTATGTCATGGACATTCTTACCGAGGTTGGGGTACTGGGGTCTCGTCCGAGTGCTTTCCCGACGGAGCAGAATCATCAGCTCACTAAACCATCATCAGACTCTCTTGTGGATGGGTCTTCTTATCGTCGCCGTGTTGGTCGACTTCTCTATCTCACAATATCGCGCCCGATATTGCTTATGGTGTTAACATTTTAAGTCGTTTTGTTCATGCACCTACGCAGGCACACATGGACACTGCTATGCGTATTTTGAGATATCTCAAGACTTCTCCGGGTGAAGGTCTTTACTTCCCTACGAACAACTCCCTTGAGTTGGTGGCGCATTGTGATGCAGACTAGGGTGGTTGTCAGTCCACCCGTCGATCTACTACAGGTTTCTATATCTCTCTTGGCTCGAGCCTGATTTTTGGCGTACTAAACGTCAAATGGTGGTTGCTCGTTCTTTGGCAGAATCTGAATACCTTGCCATGGCTAGCACGGTTAGTGAACTGATCTGGCTTCGTTGGTTACTGCATGAGCTTGGTGTTCCTCAGAATCGCTCTACTCGTCTTTACTGTGATAATCAAGTGGCACTTCATATTGCGGCTAATCCTGTTTTTCACGAGCGCACTAAGCATGTTGAGATGGACTGCTACTTTGTTCGTGAACGTGTGGTTTCTGGTGACATCGTTTCTCTTAAGGTCAGTTCGTAGCATCAAGTGGCTGATCTTTTTACGAAGGGTCTTGGAGCAAATCGGTTTCGTTTCTTATTGTCCAAGCTGAACGTTCGTGATCTTCACCGTCCAGCTTGCGGGGGTGTATTGGTCTGAGAACAGCAGCAACCCACGTCGGCATCAGCCCAGCCCCAGTCAAGTGTCTCTTCTACGTGCCCGGCAAGGATTCCTTTCTCCACCCGTGTAACTGTAGGGCAAAAAGAGAAAAACCTATATAATGATCCTGTAGGCCTCTTGGCCATTGTAACCATTCGCAGTCAATAATAATATCAGAGCTGGAGAGGCTGATCTCTCCCGTGAATTAGTCCTGACAAATTGTCAGGAATACCACGTAAAATCTCGTGTCTTCTTGCATTTATTCTCGATTTTACACTCTAAGCGTCCCAATTGTGGATATTCCTCAATTCATGCCAATCATTATTATATAAATAGCGCCTAATTGGTATAAGGGGTTCACTGGAAAATGGGCGGGTCTACAATAACTATCCTGTGGACCACACGGATCTCCGTCCATCACATTCTAAAACTCCATATATATATAGTAGAATATAGGGGTGGCTATTTGGACCGGGACCGGATTAAAAACCGGAAACCGGACCGTATAACCCGGACCGAGACCGGACCGGGTAGTAAACAATCCAATCCAATCTTTGGGCTTAGATTTGAGGTAAAAAACCGGATAAAGACCGGATAAGAGAGCTCAACACCCAAAACTTAAGGGTAATTTGCATAAACGGTCACAAACCTTTGCACTTAGTACAAAACTTAACCAACTGCTCACCCTTTAAGGCTTTAGGCCACTCAAATCCCACAATCTCAATGTAAAATCAAGACCGAATCGGGACCGGACCGGATCAAAACCGGACCGGATCAAGACCGGACTGTATCCAATCCAATTTTCGGTCCTTATATTTTCAAAAAGACCGGACTAGACCGGATCAATTTGGGCCAATTTAACCGGACCGTATAGCCACCCCTAGTAGAATATATAAAGGGCGAGTTTAGCATTAGGGGTCCAGTGGGATGTTGTGCAGTCTACCGTAAGCTTTCTACGGACCAAACAAATCGAGTTTAGCAAGTTCTATTCACACTCGATCTAGGTCGTCCGTTTCCCATCGATCCCATAACCCCATGTTGCCGATCTCCCTAGATAGATAGATCAAATGGCGTCTAGGCAAGTCTCTGCATTCTTCTGTCTTTTGTTCGGCGGCTAGAAAAGAGCACCAAAGAGTTTCCCTTACCGTAGAGTGCTTTCAGGGTCCTTCTTCTTCTGGCATCTGTTCTTCTCCCTTTTGCATGCGGTCGTTCGTTGTTGTCTGTCCTTGCAAATTGCAATTTTACCTTCTCAAACCGTCGCTGGATAGAATAGATAGAAGGACACGTCACAAATAATGAAATTGGTCTCTTTGATTTACGATCAATGGGATGGGGGTAGTTGGGAGTGGTCTCTCTGTTTTGCGATCAATGGATGGGGGAAATTGGAAGAGGCCGGTAATTGAATGGCTGCTTTTCTATCTAAAACCGACAAAGGAGATTCAGCCACTCTGTGTGGCGGCCGATGGAATTGGGTATTCATAAGAGGAGGGTTACTAATTGGAAGAGGCTAGTCACGACTGTTTCTCGACGGATTGGAAAATAGGAGGTCTCGACAAAGCAAGGAGACGAAAACAAGAATAAACACAACACACGATTTACGTGTTCACTAACACAATATGTGCTAGCCCACGGGCAGGAGAGTGCTATTTTCGTTACTATACTTATTACGAGAAAATACAGATTACAAAAGAAAGTGACAAATATTTATATTACTTCTTCCTATGGTCTAACCCTAATCCAAATGAATTTTTTTATTTATTTATTTATAATACTAATACTATTATCGCCAGTTTTATGACTTACACTAATCGAACCTGGTTTAACCAGCGGGGTTACTACACTGGATAAGACCAAAACCTTCAGCATGATGCATGGAAAATGGAAGTTAAAGAAAAAGAAAAGAAAAAAATTCATCAATTCTGACATCATATCCACTATAAATTGAGCATATCGGTTCAACCTCTCACACTCACCCACTCTCTACTTCATCCTGTGCAAAAAAAACAACCCTCCTAAAGAAGGAAGAACACACCAGAAGTTCCCACCATGGCTGCATCTTACAACTCTGTCCCTTCCATGGTAATTCACTTTCCTCCACTCTGTCTTGTTAACCAACAATTTTTTTAGACCAAAGTTATTGATAAAGTTGATGTTATTTTGAACATTTTATTATGAATTCTATTTGTCATTTCTTTTCTTTTGTACGTCACAAATTAAAATCTACTTATGATTTTCAATTCGTACAAATTGAACATGTACTAAACATAAGATATATTATGCTAAATCATTATTTATATTAGGATCTTCATAAGGATTAGAAGGACGAATAAACTATCATTGAGACTTAATAACTCAAGTCGTCGAAAATAATTTTTTTATAGATTTTATATATCATTCCTTTTCTTTTAGATATTTGGTGGCCATTTGTAAACAAAGTTTCATTCACTAATTTGTAACAAATATCATCTAATTTTTTTATGAGCTCAATATAGTTTCAAACTATGACTGATTTAACAAACTTTGATTACCATCGTTAATTGACTTATCGGAATTATCCTTATTGGTTGTGACCTAATATCCTAGAGTTATAGATCACATTTCCTAATATCATGGCCTTGCTAATAGGTGATATATATACATCCTATGAAAACCAACCATTATTCGCAAATTTTCCTATACCATGACTTGACTGCTCTTTTCTAGATTCCTATCATAGTAAGAAAATAGGATTCGAGCAATATATAATTGTGAGTTAGTGTTAAAACTTATATAAGCGAACTTCTGTCCATAACGTGGTTTGATAGATAATGGAAGAAGAAGGAAGATTCGAGGCCGAAGTAGCAGAGGTGCAAGCATGGTGGAACTCGGAGAGGTTCAAGCTAACCCACCGCCCGTACTCCGCCAAGGACGTGGTGGCGCTCCGCGGCAACCTCAACCAGAGCTACGGCTCCAACGAGATGGCCAAGAAGCTGTGGCGCACCCTGAAAACCCACCAAGCCAACGCCACCGCCTCCCGAACCTTCGGCGCGCTCGACCCAGTTCAAGTCACCATGATGGCCAAACACCTCGACACCATCTACGTCTCCGGCTGGCAGTGCTCTTCCACCCACACCTCCACCAACGAGCCGGGCCCCGACCTCGCCGACTACCCGTACGACACCGTCCCGAATAAGGTCGAACACCTGTTCTACGCCCAGCAGTACCACGACCGGAAGCAGAGGGAGGCCAGGATGAGCATGACCCGCGAGGAGCGAGCTCGAACCCCTTACATCGACTACCTGAAGCCAATTATAGCCGACGGGGACACCGGGTTCGGCGGCACCACGGCCACCGTGAAGCTGTGCAAGCTGTTCGTGGAGCGCGGCGCTGCTGGGGTTCACATCGAGGACCAGTCCTCGGTGACCAAGAAGTGCGGCCACATGGCGGGGAAAGTGCTGGTTTCGGTGAGCGAGCACATCAATCGGCTGGTGGCTGCCAGGCTGCAGTTCGACGTGATGGGCGTGGAGACGTTGCTGGTGGCGAGGACTGATGCCGTCGCTGCGACTTTAATCCAGACCAACATCGACCCGAGGGACCATCAGTTCATTTTAGGCGTGACGAACCCGAATCTTCAGGGGAGGAGCCTGGCGGCGGTTCTGGCTGAAGGGATGGCGAATGGGAAAACCGGAGCGGAGTTGCAAGCGATTGAAGACAATTGGGTCGAGTCGGCACAGTTGAGGACTTTCTCCGAACACGTGGTGGGCATGATTGAGAAAATGAACGCGCCGGAGCCGGAGAAGCGGAGGAAGGTGAACGAGTGGATGAATCTGTCCAGCTACGAGAAATGCCTCTCCCACGACCAAGCCCGCGAGGTCGCTGCTCGACTAGGGATCAACAACCTGTTCTGGGACTGGGATTTGCCGCGAACCAGGGAAGGTTTCTACCGATTCAAAGGCTCGGTGATGGCTGCGGTGGTCCGAGGCAGAGCATTCGCTTCCCACGCGGATGTGATCTGGATGGAGACGTCGAGCCCCGATCTGGTGGAGTGCACGGATTTCGCTCAGGGGGTGAAGTCGACCTGCCCGGAGACGATGCTGGCGTACAATCTGTCGCCGTCGTTCAACTGGGATGCTTCCGGGATGAGCGACGAGCAGATGAAGGACTTCATACCGAGGATTGCGAGGCTGGGTTTTTGCTGGCAGTTCATTACGCTTGCTGGGTTCCACGCGGATGCGCTGGTGGTGGACACTTTTGCGCGGGATTTCGCCCGCAGAGGGATGCTGGCGTATGTGGAGAGGATACAGAGGGAAGAGAGGAGCAATGGAGTGGATACTCTGGCGCATCAGAAGTGGTCGGGTGCTAATTTCTACGACAGGTATCTCAAGACTGTGCAGGGCGGGATTTCTTCCACTGCCGCCATGGGCAAAGGTTAGTGCAAAACTTTTCTTTGGAAAATTTGAACTTCAAGTGGTGATGTTGGTCCCTTCTTATGGGTTTCTTTTTTGGGTAATTTTGCAGGGGTGACTGAGGAGCAGTTCAAGGAGACATGGACAAGGCCAGGAGCCATGGAAATGGGTGGAGCTGGAACTGAAGTGGTTGCCAAGTCGAGGATGTAAGAACCAAGAGAGTTATGGTTGCTATGGAAGAAGGGTTTGGTTTTGAAGAGGGCGGGGAATCCAACCAGGATCCTGACATTATGGAACTGGGATGAAGTGAATAATTTGTGTGCCAAATAATAGGATTATTATTATTATGTTTTACCCTATTGAGGCGAAAAACGAAGGCCGATTCTGAGGAAGAATCCCCAAGGCCACAATTGTTCTTTTTGGTGATTTCACTTTGCATTTTGTAGTCTTCATTAAAGCCAATTGCAAGAATTTGTTTCTGTTCTGTAATTTTCTCATCATGTGATTCCTATATCAATATATGTTCTCCTATCTGTTGCTTTCCTCCATCACCTGTTTTCTCATTATGGTATTACGACATATTTCAGTTTTGCCAAAATTGGTACAAAACTTGATTGTGTTAGCTGCTGATTAGTCAGTCACTAGCCGCTTCAAGTTGTTAGGTCCGTGTTTTAGAAATCGTCACAGAGTAGAGCAGATGTTCCAGGTTCGCCTGCTACATTGTAGGTCCATGCTACTATTTGACTGCAATGCCCACTCGTTCATTCGAAACTCTCAAATTCGAGTTCTGACCTGACATCAGAACCACAAATCCGAAATGTTAATCAAAATGCGAATTTGTGATCAGTCACTGTTCCACATGAGGTCTAGGAACTGTATATATACCTCACCACCAACTCTAGGATGGAGGAGAACAAAATTGCAGAGAGGAGGCCTTAAATCGAGTGAAAGACATCTAAAGAAATGCAGCTGTGATGATGTTATGAAGTAACACAGGGAATAGTTGTGTAATGAATGGATGAAGCACTAATTTCAATTACCGAAAAAAAAAGAAGCACTAATTTCCTTTTTCTTCTTCTATATAAAATATATAGCTATCTGCATGTGTGTGTTTTTTTATGTGTGTATTTTCCTTGTGTGTGGGGGTTCAGGCCTTCTTGTTCTTCCAGGGTTTGAGAACGGCTAGTAGAATGAAACCGGCAATGAGCAAGAGGAGAATGATGGCAATCATCATGCATTTTCTCGAGTTCTTCTGCAGACTCTTGGCTGTCTGGAGAGCATCTGTCCCTGATTGAATATGATCCACTGCATTTGTCACCTATTAAAAAAGTAGTTAGTCCAATCTCTTCTTATTTAAGAGGCAGGGTATGGATCGAGAAATCGTACAAGATCTCAAATACATGGGAAATGATCGTGTAAAAAGTCGTTATAACATCATGATGAAACCATATCAGATTGGTCACCATTCCATAGTTCTCCTAAAAAGAATTCATTGATGACATTTACTCATGATGTCTTACAAGAGGAGTCTGCCTTGAAAGAGGCGACCTAATCCATCAACTTCAAACAAAATTGAAGGAAAACCAAATATGACATTGCTATAGGGTTGACTTATGATGACAGATGTAAGAACAGGGGAGGACTGCACAAGGACTTTGGATTCCTAAAGAGAGATAATCAAAATGTCAAGGCACTGTCAAAGAGTAATAAAAATGGCTAAGACTCTGAACCAGTCACTTAAATGCCTAATTTTCACACCCGTGCACTGCGCGAAAACCAAAATTGAGAAGTACTTATAGGAAAAGAAGTAAAAGAAACCTGGTTTTCGATGTTGTCTAATATCTCTCCTTGAGCCTCAACTAGAACAGCCATGTCAAGGTATATCTGACAACAAGATTGAGACGCAAGTTCTTAGGCTGTGCTAGCTTGTTGAGCACGTGAGTAGCTAGATGTGGGATATGATAACTTACCTGGTGTAAATCAAGAAGCTTCTTTTCGATCTCCTTCACTGCGTCGTGCCTCTCCTGGATTTCTTGCACCGTATTTAACACCTACACAAACAAGGCTCAAAATGGCTGAGCATGATGAATCAAAGTTTGATGGATCTTTCTTTACAAGCAGAATGATAGATGATGATGATTTAAAACAGCCAAACCTGTCCTCGACCCATTTCTTGCATTGCATTTTGAAAGATCTGCTCACTGTCTCCCGTCTCAATTAGTTGGTCAATCGTCTAGTGCCAATCAATAATATCTCATAAGAACCAAAAGGCAAAAATACTGACCACATTAAACAAAAATGACTTTTAACTTCTAGTTTCAAGATTCAAAGCTCACCTCTTCATCTGGTCTAGTTCCAGTGACTGATCAAGTTGTAACGAGAACAAGTAGAGAAAAAAGCAGTCAGTCCAAATGTAGTCCGTATAATCCTAGCTAGCTCTAATTGAATCCAGGTCATCAATTTCAAATCGAAGGATTTGTACCTGTCATGACCCTTCTCTCAACAACCTCTCGATACTCGTCTTGTATCGTTTGTCTTAGGGTCTGAAACTCGGTCATCAGGTCTCTAAACCTTTTCGTTAATGAACTGCAGTCCACACAAAATAAATGTACACAAGAGGGAGTGTGTTAGGAAAAGAAGAACATTACAAGACTTGATCCAACTCAAGAAATGAGAAGCCGTTGTCATACCTTGAAACATTCATCCTAGCTCTGTCGACCCCAGTGCCCTTTTCGCAGCCAGGTTTCTGTCGATTGGCTAAGTTCTGGTAGTTAAACACAACAACAACAAAGGAGAAGAACCAGTCCAATAAGTAAATGTGATGCACAGCTTTTAGGGGGAATTTAAACTTGATCAAGACCTAATTAAAGGAGAGTGAAGTAGAGTTTTTTTTTACATCTTTGTTTATGGCTTCTAGTTTTGCTTTGACGAAACGTGCTGTCTTCCCGACTTCGTCAATGTCTTTCTCCATTCGCTTTTTGATGGCTGAATGATTGGATGGCCAAGAACAAGTCAGACGTCATGTGCTTCAGAGTACTGAGTACTGACTAAGGCTTGTTGTCATATTCAAACTTCTAAAGGTTTCCCTTATCACAATTGACTATATACAAAGAAGAGGCTTACCTTTCATGGAAGAAGCTTTTGTAACATTTTTTGATTCCTCGTTAGCATCCTACAGAAGATAACAGTAGTATTTACTATACAGTTAAAAAATGTAATAGGAGGGTTCTTCTTCCATGAGATAAAGTTATAAACAGAGAATGAATTTCATAGAGTTCAACCATTGGTTCTGTTCAATTCTTCATGGAACTCTACCATACAAATAGAACTGTAGTTGCATGCCCTAAATTGTAAGGCGCCCTGGTGTTACTCAAGAAATTGAGACCTACCTTCAAGCTCTTCAGCAGACCAGCAACTTTATCAACATTTTTCTCAACTTCTTGTATCTAGTAAAAGGTCACATGAAAATTGAAAACAAATTACCAAGAGAACTAGAGCTGACATATAGCCCCAAATTAGCTAGAAAATCACAACCCACTACATATTTATCTAAAGCTTCCCTTATACAATAATCTGGATAATGCCTATGGCCATATATATATATCCCCCATACATAGACTAAAACTTGTACCTGCTTATTGAAACTTGCCATTCCCATATCAGAGCTACTCCTGGAGCTCTGGCTGTGACCCTGCACCCCCATCTCGATATCATTACTCTGGACCCGGTTCGTTGGACCAACGAACGAGTCCTGAAACCATAAGAGAATGGCACAATCTCAGTGTCAGTTGTCATCATTTTTGCTTTAAACAAACTCATCAGTCATCACCAAAAGAAGCAAGGAAAAGGGTTTCCATGAGCCATATGCATCAAACAGGATGATTCCATTTCATTGTCTAGCTAGACTAAGCGATACAATTAGGGTTGCGATGAAATATCTACATACAGTAGTAATAGTCTCTTGCATGTTCAATTCTAGCAACGGACTTGACTTGTGTTAAATCAGGTGAGAAATTCTCAACACCTCCAAGACCTGATAGAGAATTTTTATATTATTACAGGTACAGTTTCCACTTGGCTCCTTGTCCTTGATGATCAAAAGAAGAATCACGATGAAAATTCAGACTTCTCAGCAGAACGTAAACAACAAAGAAAAATCGAAACCGAAAGCAGTGCAGTTCAAGTAAAATTTGCAGCATTGTTCATCATCCCTTATCAAAGCACTGTTGTTATCTCTATACTATACCTAGTGATCAAAACTAGGTGAAACCGAAGAAAGGACGACAGAAGGTGAGAACCCAGTATTTGGAAACCAGAAAAGAATCGAACTTTACCGTGAGCAGGTCGTTCATCCTGTTTTTTTTTTTCTCTGATCACTTTCAGAGGAAGAAAAGGAGATAACGGCTCAGTCGGAAGTCAATCCAGAGAAGCAAAGGGGGAAAAGAAAGGTTGGAGAGATGATGTTGGGGGCGTTGAACGGCAAATAAAATAAAACGGTTATAAAACTGAAACCGAAACGAAACGGGAAAACTTATTAATGGAGAAGTTTTTGCCATTTCAAAGGCAAAAGAGTATTGCTGGGTAGCCGGCAGCCAGACAGAGAGCGAAGGAAGAATGTTTCCGGTTTCTTCTCGTTAGTTTTAGTGCATAATTTATGAGGGCTGACTGTTGCCGGCCAGGCCATGTCGTTTCATAGTCTTCCTCTGTTTCCTCCTTTCGTTTTCGAAGACTGGAGCTTTGGACAGCCTTTGCATTTTGTTCACATGAACAAGATGTTTGTCTGTTTCGTCCTTTGTTTTGTTTTCCCTTTTGGTTTGTGGGGGCTTTTCTCTCATGTTGGTGAGCTGTAGTGGAGATTAGATTTACTAATCTCGTATGGTATGTCCAAGCAAAATTCTTTCGCTTGTCAGGTGCGACTCTCAATTCTCTAATGGATCTGGCAATTCGAAATGTTTTTTTCCATTGAGAAAAATACATAAAAAAATTCCAAAAAGAAGAAGAAAAAATAAAACGCCTTTTCGATGCTGAGTAGTGATTTTGTTATGCCGGCATCACTCCAAGTCCAACGGGCAATGGATTTGGGCAGGGCCGTTTTCTTTTTTCTATATACTTTCTCCGAATCCTAGTTCAAAATCGTAACTATTTCCATAACTAAAATTATGTGAGGATGTAATATGACATATCAAAACCAATTCATATGTGGTTCGAGAAAAATCCATCCACACCATCCTCGAAAAATCATATCTAAAGTTCTTCATATGATCTAAATGTTTTCTTAGAATGTAAATGTTATTGAAGTTTCTTTGTTACATTGTTTGTAAAACTTAGAGAAAATGAGTAAGATATGAAATCAAAGAGATAATTATAATATTTGAGAGATGCGGATGAAGAAAGTGTTTAAGTGTAGAATATAGTTATAACACATATTCGAGTGAGTTCGGTGCAAGATCCTCCAATACAAAGACAAATTTTCTCAACTGTTCCTTTTCTGTTTTATTTGTAGTTCACAGAGCTCTCCTCCATGAAGGATCATCATCCTCCATAGCTGTAACCTTAGTTGTAGTCGCGGACCTCTTAAGGAATCTCCATGGGAGTAGGGTAACAGTAATGTAGATTTTCCATACACCAAACACCCTCGTTAGAATAGTGTTTGAAGATGTGTGGACCATAGCAACAATCTCACCTTCGTAGAAGTCAGACACAACTCATCCACCTATTCTTCCACCCTTAGCAATTTGGAACGCCTAGTGGAACACATGGGTTTGGTATGGCTTCGGAACGGAGGTAGAAAGAAGATGATCTTCCACGAGGTTTTGTGGAGGAGGAGAAGTTGGTCAATGTTGATGTTGAGCAAGTTGGGGGGACTTCAACCAACACTAGTGGAGCAAAGGTGCCACTCTTGGCTCCAACCGCAGATACACGTGAAATAGTGCCCTCCACCAAATGATGGAGGAGATTCACCAAATGGTGGTTGGACTCTGTAGAAGCAACCAATAGGTACATCTTCACTTGGCCTCTTTACATAATAATTTTGATCATTTTAAACAAAGCATTGATAAAGCTCGTGATAGGATGGTTGGTAGAGATGTTTATGATCTTTAGATGCCAATTATGGAGTTGTGCATGATGCATCCATTGTACAAGAAATTTTTGTTGTTGTTGTTGAGTGACAAAGATTTGGTGAATGAAAAAATTGAAACAGTAAGCATTGACCAAGTTCGTGGTTTAGCCAGTCAAACCACAATTGGTTGATGAGAGAGTCGGGTATCTGGCCATTTTTTATGGATAGTCCACAATGTCATGGTAATAGTAGTGGTCAATCCAACTTGTTCTGCTTGACTGGTAAAAAGTTAAAGAACTCAATGATGAAATATGTAGTGGGTTAGATAATGTCAATACAGACTCACCCCCTACTTTGGCTTCATCACTTTTCAAGAAGCAAACAATGCAAATGTATCGTTTCTTGTGAACATTATTGCTTGTAAGGGCACAAAAGCTAGAGATTGCTTACAGAAGCCATTGCAAGGAAGTATGTGTGAACGTGCTTCTGGAAAAATTAGAAGTGAAAAACATGCTAAGCAACTCATATGTGAGTACATTGAAAAAGGAGAAGTATAAGGGGGAACTTGACACTAATAGTCAAGCTGCTAGGGAGGCATGTCATCCCATTTGTTAGTAGGTCGAGACAAAAGCAATATTCCAAGTGGAAAAATAATTTTCACATTCACCAAGTTAGGAGATGCCACAACGATGGTTACCAAGAGTAATTCTTAGTTTTGGGATGGTGATCACTAAGGTGAGATAGCATGACTACCCCTAAAGAGGTTGGAAAAAAGACACCCCTATTAATTATAGGCTTTTAAAGCAATTAAATTGTGTTGCATTTAATAATATGTCTGAATTAAAAATCCATATTAAGTACTTTTTCCCCAGTGCAATGGTAGTTGTATCAGACTATCAGTGCAATGGTAGTTCAAAAAAAGGAATGCAATTAATATGATTTTAGTATACATGTGCAATAGTAGTTCAAAAAAAGAAATGTAATTTGAGTTTTTCATTCTTGAAGATTATTAAACGCAACACCAATTTAATACAAAAAATAGCTATAATTAATAGGGAGTGTCATTTTTCCAACCCCATAGAGGGGTTAGCAAGATAACCGATCCCGTGATCACTTTCAAAAATCTAAAGTCACAAAGATTATCTAACTTTGATCTAAACCTTTATCGGACAGTTTGTCAAAGACTTCATCTAAAAGACATGTTAGCGTCTTAAAGCATGGACAGGGTGCCGTGTCACCAACTAATAAAGATGCATTGGGGGACATGTTATATAACTTGCAAAAAGTTCAACCTGCACATGACTTAGGTAAGAGCATGCTAACAATCTGCTCTTATTCTCAAGCCACTCATGGTGGCATGTCAACAACCAAAAAAGATGAATCAAACAATCTGCAATATTCTCAAGTCACTCATCGTTTGCATAAATTTAAGATTGTGGTAATGATGGACAAAATTGTATGCATAAATTTAAGATTGTGGTAATGATGGACAAAATTGTAATATACTAATATGTCAATAAAAAATGGTGGACATAGTAGTATGCATAATGTGACTCAATATGCAACAACAAAACTTGGTTGTGTGCTAGATGACGCTCAATTTATATTGTTTATTACTATAATATTTTTTTAAATTTCCCTCTTCTATCAGTGTATCTTTAGTAGTTTTTATTGTATTTCATAAGGAGATTGTAACTATTTGACTAAGGTGCTTAAGATAGACCTCGAATGAGTTTTGTACTATTTTATGGCTTTTGTTGTTGTTTTGTACTTTTTAAGGGTATAAGGCACTCAATAGGAATATGGATCTTCAAGAACAATAATGGATCAAAAGGAGGTTGAAAATACAAGCTCATGGGCTCAAATGAAAATAGATTTGGACATCGGATGCTCACTTTATGGCCAATATAAGCATATATGGTAGTGAAGCTGAAGCAGGTCCAACTTTGACCAAGTTCCAAACGGAGTTTTACAAGTCAAATCACACCCAAATTTGGAGGATAGGTTGCTTGTGCACCAAGCAACCCTTTGCACGAAGAAAACATATGACAGCGCAGTAATAGTACCAACTGCCCTCAAGCACAAGCCCACAAAGTCGAAGAAATCCAAGTTCAAGGCGTACAAGGAATCTTTCGGCCACCTTTTAGAGGAAAAGGACTACAAAACCCTCCTTCTATAACTAGTATAAATAGAGGTTATCCTAGACTTTAACATACACCTTTTACCTGCACTCTGCCTAGGGGCAGAAGTAGCAATCCATGAAGAGGAGGCAAATTTCTATAAAAATTGGACGAGGAAGCATAGACCATCGATGCCTGTATCAATGGTGATGTTGTTCTACTACCCTATGACATGCTAGTCATCTTGTTTAGGGATGTGAATTCTTTTAATGTTTTATGCATATACTTTCGATGATTTAATGACGATGCCTATTGTGTTTAATGTCTCTATCATTGATGCATGATGTTCATTTATGCTTGTATCATATATTGCTTGAGTTATTTGATGCTATTGCTATCATATGATTTACATTATCGATGCTTATTGTGTGTCACTTTAGTCATCATGCTTAATACAGTCTAGGTTGATTAGAATACTATACTCTAGTGATATCCCATTGATGTTGTACGTGTATCACCAAGGATCAATGCTTGATTGTTAAATCATTGATGTTATCATTTATGAGTTATGACTCAAGAGGCCCACATTTAACCATATTCTATCCTGACTTCCTTGTTCTTTATCGATTAGGTGATGGCATAAAGAGAAAGCATGATTAGCTAGTCAAGTTCCTATTGCAGGTGGCGAAAGTTTGAGTAGGATGGCCTTTCACTTGCTTTGTCATTTACTTGCTTGCTTTGCTTTGTTTACTTGATTTCTAAGATTAGAATTTCGACCAAGAAACCTACCTAAACCTACTTCATTTGCTTTTCTTGCTTTATTCCCATAGGTGGTTAGTTTTGAGTAATTTCTTTAAAAGGCCCTATGGAATATGATCCTATGCACTCCTAGATTTATAATTCCATTTACAACTATCAAGTTATAGGCGTCATTTCCGGGGAACATTTATAGTATTTGAAAGAAGCCAACCTCTTGTGTTTGATTTGTCTTGTAGATAGAGAAAATATTACGCTCTAGTTGGTTTTTGTTTTACATGATTCGAACTCGAGCAAGCCATAACAATCCATACAAGGACGTGGTACTAAAAAAGAGCATCACTCGAAGGATGATGAGCATCCTATATCTATTCGAGTACTTTAGGCCAAAAGCATTGATGGTCGAGGGCAAAGGCATTTAACAAA